CAGCGTCCCGCCGTTGCCATGGCAACGGATGACACGATCAGGGCCGGCCTATCACCATAGGGCTCATACTCAAAGACAACCTAGGGGTGTGGCCTGAGTGTGATGAGCACTTGCTCTCCGGCTGGCCACTCCCCCTGACTCCGTCCTATGTCTCTGTAACAGCTGCCCTGCAGCCGTTACACAGAGACACACAGCCCCAGCAGGAATACTGCTCAATTCGTCTCTCCATAGGCATGGCACCACCCAGACTTAGCAGCATTGACACGACACAACCCATGAATTATGTTTTGAGCAATCTTTCTATGCATACAGCAACACTGTATTTTGAATTTTGGCGGGAAATGACATCATTGGATCACTTTTGGGCAGTGGTATTGGTCTCCTCACATACAAGGATGTGTATAAATGCTTGTCCATATCTGTTTGTAATTTTCACTTGTTCTGCCTGATGAAGGGGATCCTGTGTGACCCCGAAACGTTGCAATAAGTGTATTGTTGCATGATGCGTCAATAAAAGACGTTTTTCTACTTTGGAGTGCCGGTGTCCATAACTTTTTATACATCAGGTAAATAGACACCAAACATGCCAACATGTCAATCTTTAAAATTGAGTGCGTCCGCAAAATCGCAAAAAGCTACCATGCCTAAAATTAGCCACAGGCGACATTTTAAAAGCTTTTGCCACTCATCAGTTTAGTGTTATCAATGATTAATGGCCCTAAAATTATCGTTTTCACTGCGGCATTCACGTCGATATGTAACATGTGTGGCGTAATCGTTGTTTTCACACGTAGGCGCACCAGACGCGTATTTACGTTTATAAATGCATGCCCTCAGGGGCAGTGGGAAGTAAAACTTTTTGGGTATTTTTTGTTGTTGTTTTTTTAAATATGAAACTTTTTTTGCTTGATTGCTATCACATAGGGGGCTAAAAATCCCCCTACGTTATAGCCCATATACAATGACAGGTCCTCTTTATGGAGGAATCAGGAGTCTCTAAGACCCCTAATGTCACCTTGGGACCCCCAAAGAAGCTGATGAATCAGGGATCTGCTTCACCAGCTTCTTTTCTGGCTATAGCAGCCAGAGAAATGACAGCTAACGGTGGAAGTGATGTAATACACATCGCTTCCGCCTTTAGAGAGGGAGGAGGAGAGATCAGCAGTAGGGAAATGCTGATCTCTCCTCCTTCTCAGTAGTAGTAGCCACTGTGTTGGTGTTCTCGGTCCCAGGCCCAGGATGACCAGCAGCGGCAGCAGAGGGGGGCGCTCTGTGCATGGTCATGCAAGCGATCGGCCGGCTGAACTTTTGTATGTAATAACCCGTAACGACTATTTACATTCCCAGTGGGATGCAGCTCACAGCGAGCAGGAAAAAAAATAATGTACATGTATGTTCACCCACCGGGAAACATCTGCCCGTTTTTTGACAATGAGGGGTTAACTGAACAAACTGAAGAGAGATGATGATTGGTTGCCATGGGCAACTGCTCCAGTTTTGATAAATTCCCCTCATGGAATTATAAATATGGGCAGCTGCTACTTTGAGAAAGTATTGTGCAATTTAAATTGAGAATAAAAAAGATCAAAACAATAAAGAAGTAATTGTTGCATGACAGATTGACATAGATGTATCAAATCTGGAGAGTCACAATATGAAGCACATATCTGTATTAAGTAAGCTAGTTACACTGTACCTCATAGGGAAACTGCAGTGAGAGACTCACCATGTCTGTAGTATAAGATTGCAGCTATTGCCTCCTGTGATACAGCATGGGTATGAGAACGCCTTTATTTCACATGCATGCCTGGGTACATCATTCACTTGTTCAGGCATCATGGGATATGGAGTCCCATACAATAGGAAACATATCAATGCTGCTGAAGCACCCCATTTCTTACAGGAGAATACATTCATTAAAGCATTGCACTTGAGTGCTGTTGCCTGCCAGGCACAGCCTTTGCATAGTGCATCATCTTGTGATACATTGACCATTCAAATACATAAGTGAACCTCTCTGAAAGGCTCTCCCGACTATTGGATAACATTTAGCTATTGCACACTGTATATAAATATATTATGTACACACACTGGAGTTCAGTAAGCGCAATCTTAAGCATGATGGGAGACCTCTGCTAAGACATCACACGTCCAGGTTTCCAGTTCTAACGTGATGACACATCTATACATCGCTGATCTGTAGATGACTAAGGACTGACGATGCCTGTGCTCCCCAGGTTGTGCCACTGCATCCTTTTGGGACCCTCCTCTAGGACTGCAGCACGCATGTGCTCTAGCAACCTCCTCTCCTAGCAACAGAAGCATCAGCACCAGCCCAGGGGAGGGAGGGAGTAGCAGCAGCAGCACCAGTTTTGTGTTGCATAGAGTAGTAAGTGGAGGAGGAGGCTGTCTGATCCTCTGTCATGCGTCAAGGGGGGTGGGAGGGAGGTGCAAGGTGCAGAAAAAATAGGAGAGAGAGCCAGACGGGTGGCTACTGTTGGAGAAGGATATAAGTGCTGCAATAGCAGCTGCAGCTGTAGGGAAAAATCCAAATGGGAGCCAGATAACCTCTGGTGGGGTGTCCGAGCCCCCCTGCTGCGTGAGAGAGGAGCATGCCAATGAAGATTTTGTTGGTATAACAGAAAGACTAAATAGTGCTGCCTCTGCTGTATCCCAGGTCTGCAGAGCTATGAGATATGGAGGAGGCAGGCAGCTCCCTGCGGCATCCCCGCTCATCTTCTCCCATGTCCCATCTAACAGCCCACCTCTCCTGTCCTGCACTGCTGCACCTCTTCTGTCTTCTTCTGCTCTCCTGCCCACAACCTTGGGGAGCTTCTGCTTCACAGACAGGTAAGTGACATCCCTGCTTCAGCAGCACGATCCCGTCTCTGCTCTTCTCACGATGTGTTCCCTTTGCTGCCATCAGCATGATATGTATGTGCTTTTATTCTGGGAATATGTCTAAGTCACTACAGATTACCATTCTAGGGACAGCTGGAAATGCTGCCAGGCTTGTATCAAGTCAACTGTCACCTTGTACTTTCTTTTTTCTATTTCATTGCAATGACATTGTATGATCTGGGTTCAGAAAGATCAATGTATAGCTCACAGGCCTCTTGGTTAAGTGTCTTCTTTAATATTACTCTGTGGCAGGTATTTCCCTGTGTTCAGTGACAAGTACTGAACCAAAGAAGTGGAATGCACAAGTTTAAAGCAAGCTCTTTTTAGTTGCAGCAATCCTAATGCACCCAAAAATAAAAGGTGATGACTTAATCAGCCTTGATAGGATGGTATGTATAACTCCAGCAGCTGTCTGAGCATTAAATAATTGCTGCAGACAAGTAGGTCTAATGCTGCTAATTTCCAGCCATGTGCTCCTTCTGTTTGGCATTCACTGACCACCTGGCTTGATCACTTAAGGCAATTCTACTTGTGAATCACACATGTAATCTCTACATGTAAAAAATCTGCAGTGACCTCTGACAGCTGCAGAAGCAGATTTGTTTGGGAGAAGTCTTCTAGTTGGAGAAGGTATAGCTGAGCTGAGCTCCCCATGTAGTGGATTGATGTTGCATAAGGAAGTACTGCAGCAAATGGAATGCGGATAGCAAAGCCATAACCATATGTACAGTAGCTTGTCACCTGAAGCTAGTTTGGGGCTGATCTTGAGAAAACTTTAGCAAAGAATACTAAAAGGATAGCACAGCTGTAACCTATAACAACCAATTAAGTTCCTTAATTCTATGGAAAGATGTAACCTTTTCATTACTATGGGCAACAGCCTCACTTCTGCTCCAGTTTTCATAAATGAGCCCTGTTGTATGTAGTCCTTGGATCACTGGTTGAAGTAACTACTTCCAGTTACTCAATATAACCTTTACCATTTAGGTACACAGTTCTGGAATGCAGTGAAGATGGAATGCTAGTAAAAGATTTCTATGTTGCAAAGAGAGTTTATTCCGAGTTTCAATAACAGTTTACATTCCATCAAGAAATAATGGGACTGTTGGGATGATGGCCCTCCTAGTGCCAAAAATTAGACTACATAATATATTGGAAGCCTATATCACTTTAAAAGATATATATTTCTATAGATATATATTTTGATTTGATATAGGTATTTGATAATATACACACTTTAAAAAAAAATATTTTTCTGATAGTTGCTGAGGCCTAAAAAAGTTTATCTATGTCTTGTCTTTTATGTACAACTCTGTCTTGGCAATCTTTAGATAGCTTGTATAGATTACTCCGTGAAAGTTAGGTTTTATTGTATTTATGTAATGTGCTCCCACATCTCCTTTTTTTCCCTATACCCCTATAATATACAAAATAGTGTGAAAGTACAAAGATAAGAGATGGCATGAAAAATGCAGAAACTTAGATGGACTTGTGTTAACTAAAGCCAGATCTGTGAAGAGTGAGTTTTGGTTTTGTCATTGCTATGGGTAATCTTGAAGGCTGCTCTATCCTTTAGTAAATAAACCTTGTAAAGACTCTTTCAGTAAACCAGTGCCAAGTGTACAAAGTGCAGGGACCAACGGCAACAATCCATCATGATTTCTGAATGGCTACTATGCTTTACAGCCCCTTGCATTGCTTTATTGAACAAACCAGATGGTATTCTGCTGTACATTTTGAGGATGTGCTAGTGTTAGATGTGCAATGGCTATATGTGACATTGATTGTGTAGGAACTTGGGTTTGTTCATAGTCTCAGTTTCATATCATCCTTGACTGCAGCGGCTATCTGCAGTTATGACTCTAAGAAAACACTGCTGACTCCTCTATATTCAAAGAAGGGAATGTTTGCAGGGAGCACTTCTGTAAGATCAATTTGATTCTCCATTTAACTAAAAACATTTACATTAGGGCTTTTTTGTTTCCAAAATAGATACATCAGAGGTAGCATATTGTTACATATTGAAAAAGATCTGCCAACTTCCCTCCTTGTTTTTAAGTTTGTGTTGTGTGTGAATTCTTCATCATGCTTAAACAAAACAAAAAACAATTAGGTTATATTCACATTTAGTCTCCATTCACATATAGCGTTTGTGTTTCCTGTGTGGTTTTCTGTGCGGAAGACCGCGCGGGATGAAAATGCTAAACTTTTTAATCTGCACGGATCACGCTCGTTTGCAGCTATTATATAGCCACGAACGTGCAGAATCTGCCTTAATATCGCATTTGTACTTTTTTGCGGGCTACTACGTGGCCACTGCAAAAGTCTGAACAATGCACATTAAAATGCATTGTTTTTTATGTTTAGGCCGCTCCGCTGACCTCTTTCAGAAATGATTAGTTCACTGGCTGCCATTGGCTTCAGTTACTTTATGAGCCACTGACAAGCATGCAGATTTGGAAAATCTAAAAAAAAAAAGTAATCACTCCCAATTGGCTCACCTATTCCAGATCAATGACTTAGAACGTACTGATGCCAATGGATCACCATGACAGTCAGAGAAATAGCATATGCGGGTGAGCAAAGGTGGTCTCCATGCTTCATCAATACAGGTTTCTTGACAACCAAGTTGAAGTTCACATTCTCAGTACCAGCTAAGAATGGATGAACTAGTGTAAACGTCGGATGTTCTGCTGTATTTGGCTGGCCGAATATGCGCAAACAACTGCTGCTGTGTGAATGGAGCCTTGGAGGGAGGATTAGCTGTGGACTCTATGTTGTATTTTTAATATTTTTTTTGCTAAAATAGAATCTTAAAGTGACACTAAAATCAGGAGATAAACCCTAAAAATGCATTCAAGTACCTTAACTATTTACAATACTGTACCTTACTTGTGTGTCACTCAGCTGTAGATCCTCAAATCATCTCTGAGTCCATCTTGACACTGTCCTTCCTTCTGGATGGTGGCTGCTTTTGTTCCCCATGGTCCCTGTGAGTGTTGTATCGTAGTCAACGCTCTAAGCTCAGTCCCGTGAGGGACGGACTACAATCTTATGTTTAGTTTACTCATTTGTATTGAGGTTGTAGTCCATCACAGGAGCGAGCTTGGAGTGGTGGCTACATTACAACACACACAGGAACCATGGGAAACAAAAGTAGCCACCCTCCAGAAGGATGGACAGTGTCAGCACCAATTCAGAGATGAGGTACTTGAATGTAATTTAAAATTTGACTCCTGAGTTTAGTGTCACTTTAATATTACCACAAAAAGCCAAACCAGCGCCATGTATAGGAACCTCCTTCAGCCACATAATAATTCTTGTGTTCCAGGCAGTCCGCCCCATTACAGATGAGGGATTACACTGTGTGAAACATAAAGAACAAGAAACATCGAGCGCCTTTCCTGGTGCAAATAATCATTTTATTTGTTTAGAAAGATTAAAAGTGATAAATGGTACTCACAAAAAAGGTGGATAAAAAGCGTGTTGGACATAAATCTGAGGATACATGCAGATTCCTAGCAGTCAGAGAAAACAATCCAAATATGCTGCTAGACCAGCAGAAACAAGCTGACTCAGCTGAACGCGTTTTCGGGGAGTTTCCCCTTCTTCACTTTAATATTACACTCCAGTCTAATTTATGGTTGCTGACATATACAGGTGAAACTCGAATAATTAGAATATCGTGCAAAAGTAATTGCAGTAAGTGCTGCAAAAGGGGCCCAAACCAAGTACTGAGTACATATGCATGCTTGTACTTTTCAGAGGTCCGATATTGTTCTATGTACAATCCTTGTTTTATTGATTGCATGTAATAATCTACTTTTTTGAGGTTGTGGATTTGGGGTTCTTGGGGTTTTCATGAGCTGTAAGCCATAATCATCACAATTATGACAAATCACAGCTTGAATTATCTTGCTTTGCATGTAATGAGTCTATCTCATATATTAGTTTCACCTTTTAAGTTGCATCAGTGAAATAAATGAACTTTGCACAATATTCTAATTATTCGAGTTTCACCTGTATGTGTTAATATTATCACGAAATGTGTGGGTACCATTTTTGGAACTGCTTGATGAAGAGTAGCATTTAGGTTGATAACATTGAAGACTTGATTTAAGAAAGTAAGCAATTTAAATAGAAATTGTATGTAAAGTTAAATCCAATTCAAAAAGCAGAACATCCCAAGTTTACACTAGTTAATCCATTCTTAGCTGGTACTGAGAATGTGAACTTCAACTTGGTTGTCAAGAAACCTGTATTGATGAAGCATGGAGACCACCTTTGCTCACCCGCATATGCTATTTCTCTGACTGTCATGGTGATCCATTGGCATCAGTACGTTCTAAGTCATTGATTTTAGATTTTCCAAATCTGCATGCTTGTCAGTGGCTCATAAAGTAACTGAAGCCAATGGCAGCCAGCGAACTAATCATTTCTGAAAGAGGTCAGCAATGGAAGCCTACATATTTCTTCTAAGTATGGATTTTCATTAAAGCTGAACTCCAGGGAAAGAGATAAAAACAGATACCAGTTAGGAGCTGGTTTATGCGATAAAGGATTTGTATTTCTGTCTATCCAGCGTGGAATATACACAGCCCAGCCAGGCAGCAGTGCCAGGCTGGTGACCTGACTTTTCTATACTGCTGTTATGGAATACAGCCTGGTTACCACTCTGCCCACAGCCTGTGACTTGACAGTAAAGGAGCAGCAACAGAGTGATTCGGGCATCACTCTGTCCTCTCCTCCTGCGAGCTGATTCTTATCATGACACACAGACAGCACACCTGACATGCGTCTAGTGCTGCCCCTCCCTCTCCAAGTCTAAGAAAAAGGGTCATGTCTATTGAGGCGATTGAGGTGCGTTGGTATCCCATTCCAATTGAATAAGCTGCCTAAGTACAATGCAATTTAACGTGTGTTTCGTAACACACCTGAAAGGTATGTAT